TGGGAAGAGCTTCAGACCTCCAGATGGACATCAAAGTCAAAAGATGTTCTAGTTCTGACTTCACCATTTTAATAGACAAGCCCTTTTGGAAAAGTCATATGACCTCTAAGAGGCTCATCTGTAAAATGGAGTTAGAAATGCCTTGAATACCTGCTTTATAAGAGGTTGGGATAAAGTTGGGATATTAATACTTGTGAAAATGCTCTGAAATGTTTGGGTTTTTTTTTTCCCCCCTCAGTATTGGGGTTTTGAACTCAGTGCCTTGCATTTGCTAGGTAGGTACTCAGCTAGCCACCTGAACTATGCTTCCAGTCCCTTTTGCTTTGGTTATTTTTGAGACTGGGTCTTATGTTTATGTCTCAGTCAAACCAGGCTAGGATCCTTTTGGGTGCCACCAGCATTTTTTATTGGTTGAGATGGGGCCTTGCTAACTCCCTCTCCCCACCCCCTAGGCTGGCATCATCCTGTGATCCTCCTGATCTCTGTCTCTTGAGTAGCCAGGATTACAGGTATGAGCAACCATATCCAGTATATGCTTTTTTTTTTGGACAGGGTCTTGCTATGTAGCCAGGCTGGCCTTGAACTTGCCATCCTCCTGCCTCAATCTCCTGAGTGATTACAGGTCTGTGCCACCACACCTGGCAAATGCTATTTTAAAAATTAAGCAAAAAAAAAAAATAATAATTATAACAATAATAGTAAGGGCTAAGTGTAGTAATCCTAGCACCCAGGAAGCTAGGGTAGGAGGACTGAGAGTTTGAGACCAGCTAAAGCTACATAGCAAGTTCCTATCAGTCAGACTTAGCTACATCATAAGACCTATCTCAAAAATAAAAAAAAAAATAAAAATCATTTCATACTTCAATGCAATTTCTGCCTCCCAAACAAAGTAAATACTGGTGGTTGCTTCTTTTCATCACTGAAGACAAAACAAGCATGGCAAAATCACCTACTTCTTGACAATTCTGAGCTACAGACAAAGTTACAGGCATACTAAAATAAAATGGGAAAAATACCAACAAATGACAAGAGTTAACTTAAGCTTCACTTAAAGCTATATTGAGAATGCTTCCTTACGGTCATCTCAGGACAAATTTCTCTTTAACAGGTTGGGTCTTGATTTCCTTTAGTTCCCTGAAGCCTTGAAGGGCATAGCAATGTCTTTGGCTAAGAGAATATTTATGAAAGAATGTATAGAAAGATGGGATGAAATAATAAACATCTTCACAGAGGTGATGACAAAACATCTACAGGGTGAGCATAATGGAAAGGGCTTGGGTTTTAGAGAAGAAATACTTTCAGTCCCGCTTATTGACCAGGCAATATTACCTACTTCAAAAAGATAATCTTAAATGAAAGAATGTATGTAAGCATCTGGCACATAAAAGTTACTTAATAAATGTGTGGTAGCAGGAAAGGAAGAAAGAAAGAAAACAACAACAAAAACTCCCCAGGTATCTACTCTTATTCAAATCTGGAAGCTTTTTCTCCTTGAGAATCAATGGTTTTCAAGCATGGTGACTAGAGGACATTTAGAAACATCTGGAGATATTTTTTGGTTGTCACCACCAGGGGGTGCTACTAGCATTTAGAGGGTAAAAAGGCCAAAAATGCTGCTAAATCATCCTACAATGCATTGAACAATGTCTCAGATAATTATCCAGCCTAGCTGGGGGCATGGCTTCAGTGGTAGAGCACCTGCTTAGCAATAACAAGGACCTAAGTTCAAACCCCAGGACTGCCCTCATCCCCCACAAAAAAAATAGTTATCGGGTCTAAAACATCAACAGTGCCAAAATCAAGAAATCCTGCCATATAGCAAGCACTCTTTGGTACTCAATCTGAGAAAGTTACTTTCCCTTCTTAGCTTTAGTTTACTCATTAGCAATATGGCTACAACTTTATCTGTGCTCCCTACCTCATCAAACTGTTGAGAGGATCAAATGATCAAATGAGAGGCATTTTCCTCATCATACCTTTTAAAACATAAGCAAAAGCACATACTTTCTGGGCAAAGACAGCAGGATTTACATACTGGGGAAGGTGGGAGGATAATGGGAGTGGAATTCTTTGGGAAGGCCAAAATCCAAAGGGGCCTCTTGCCTATTTGCCCACTTAGCTGGAGCATAGGAGCTCTCATGAATGGGACAGGACCATATCCCAGGGAGAGAGATGAGCAAGATGGAGTGTGGGAAGTGGGTGGGGACAACACAGGTATATCAGAGAGGAGCTGACAGATGTAAGGAAGTGACATCTTGGTGTCTATTTGGCCTGCTATAACAAAATACCATAGATTGGAAGGCTTAAAACAATAGACTTATTTCCTCACGGTTTTAGAAGCTAGAAAGTCTAAGATCAAGTTCCAGCAGGGTCTGGTTTCTCTTCCTGGTTTATTGACACTGCCTTCTCAGTGTGTCATCATACAGCAACAGGGAGAAGGCCACCAATCCTACCAGATTAGGCTCCACCTTTATAACCTTATTTAACTTTAATTATTTCCATAATGGCCCTATCTCCAATATAGCCACATGGGGAACTGAGATTCAGTATATAAATTTGTGTGTGGCAGGGGCGGGAATATAATTCAGTTCATAGCATTAAGGCATACATCAGACATACCCAAAGCATTTCTGTGGCCTCAGATTAGGGCACAAGCATTAAATTCAGTGCTTTTCTATGGACACATCCACTAACCCTTTCCTTTTCCAGCTGCCTTTTTTTGTGAGATATTCAGGCAATTAACTCCTGCAACTCTTTCTGTTAGAAGCCTCCTTGAGCATCTTGTGGACTTCCAGAATCAGAGAAGGATTGTCATCTTATTTGTGTCCCAGTTCTCAAATATCTGAGCTCCATCAGGTTATGAGTTTCCAACATTGGCAAATTTAAATAAATTTAGGTCCAATTCTCAATTGTGGGAGCTTTTAAAAAGGCTCAACTGTCTGGGTACAATAGCTTACACCTGTAAACCCAGTACTCAGGAGGCTGAGGAAGGAAATCAAGAATTCAAGGCCAGCTTGAGCTACGTATTGATTCTGTCTCAAAAATAAAAATAAATACATGGACAGGAAAGGGGAAGGGGAAGGGGAAAGGAAAAGGAAGGAAAGGGGAAAGGGAAGGCAAGGGGAAAGGAAAAGGAAGAGGAAGGGAAAGGGAAGACAAAGGACTGAGGGTATGGCTCAGTGGCAAGGCACTTACCTAGGCATTAAAAATTTTTACATCTCCCCAGGTAATTTAAATGAGAAGCCAAAAAGATAAGAATCACAGACCACAGAGAGTGTGTCCTGACCCTCCTCCCTAAAATTCCAATTTAGATGGTATGGAGGAATCTGTATTTTTTAAACAATCCCTCAAATGACTCTGAAAATTAACCAGGCTCAGGACAGGTTACTATTCCATTCCTGAAGCTAACGTGCCTGTCCTCATCTGTCTTGTGGATATTCATTTCTGTGGTCAGACATGAGCTTTACAGCTCCAGATTTTATTTCCTTTCTCCTCTTCATGGTACATCATTTTGGGGAAAGCCCCTCATTTACACAAAAAAAAAATGTAGTTAAAGGAGAGTTTCCTTGAAAAATGAGGGGAATCAGTAAGAGAAGTCAAGTGGGTATTAAAAAAAAAAAGTGTTCAGCTTGCTGAAAGAGAGAGCAAGAAGTCTAGGGAAATATAAAGGAAGAAGTAACCAAAGTAGGAGCATAGAGAAGATATCACAGGGATGAAAATGGAACTGGCAGGATCCAATAGCAAATGAACAAACATGTAAGTCAACAGCCTTGGCTGCTGTGAAGGGTCTTGCTGTGGGGAGAAAAAGATTATGAGCAACAATATCTTCTGGTGCCCTCATCTCCTCATCCATCATCCCCTTACTCTATCAATTCTTCCCTCAAAGGTTAACAGTGGACTCATGCCAAGCTATAAGAGTACTATAGTAGAGGATAAAGACAGCAAGTTGAAAGAATAGGGTGCAAAAGAAGGAATTTCTGACACATTTACTGAACAGAGAGGGACAGAAAGATCAGCTGGTCTTAAGTTTTGTTTTGTTTTGTTTTGTTTTTGGTGGTACTAGGGTTTGAACAATGGTACTAAGGTTTGAACTCAGAGAATCACACTAGCTAGGAAATGCTCTACCACTTGAGCCACACTTCCAGTGCTTTTTTGCTTAGTTATTTTTTGGATAGGACCACAGTCCTCCTACTGTGCTTCCTGTACACCACCAAACCCAGCTTATTTGTTGAAATGGGGTCTCACTAAACTTTTTGCTGGGCTAGACTGGAACCACGATCCTTCCAACCTCTGACTCCCCTGTACCTGGGATTACAGCATAACCCACCATGCCATAAGACTATTATCTTAGCTTTTTGGTATCTCATATCACCCCACTCTACTTGCTGAGTCCTTGCTATGAACTATATTGCTTATCATGAAGTTCTCTAACACTGGGCTGGAGGTGTGGCTTAAGTGGTAAAGCACCTGCCTCACAAGCTCGAAGTCCTGAGTTCAAACCCAAGTACTACCTCAAAAACAGTTCTGTAACACTGACATAAAAATGAGGTACACTACCAACATCCAGGTATCTCTGGTGAAAACTGTGATGTTGGCAGAAAGTTCACATCACAGACTTGACAAACTTTAGGGGGAGCACTGCAATCTGTGTATAACATAGGCCATGGATCTTAAATTTTCCTGATAGAAAAGGAACTTGTATTCTAAATCAAATACCATCCACATAATTTTCTATTTAACTTGGCCATATTATATTTTCCCTTAAGATTTCTACCCATAAAATAGGAAAATCTCAAAGATGACTGAATTTGGATTATGGAAATGAAAGAAAGAAAAGGGAGGGAAGACAAAGAATGGGTTAAGAAACGTATTTTAAAAAGTGTTCCTTGCATCAAAACTCAAGCTAAATGCTTTGAGTTAGTTTCTATTCTGATGATATATAAAATGAATTAATAGCAGAAGAAAACACTACATATTAGTGAAAGCAGAATAGTCTTTACCTTATCATTTAGAAGTGGTTTGATCTCTGTGAGTTGAACATCCTGAAGTTCATCCATGAGGACAAATGAGAGTAAAGCAGTCTTCTCAAACAGAAGAAAAAGGCATAAATTAGGAGTTGGAAACATAACAGTTACTCTGCATTTATTCATTCAAATACCAGAGCTTACTCTCTGTGTATCATGCACTACTCAGGGTGCTAACGGCACACAGTGGAAAAAGGACTAGGGGCATGATTCAAGTGGTAGTGCTAGGCAACCAAGAGGCCCTCAGCTCAGTTCCCAGTACCGCCCCCCGCCACCCCCCCCACAAAGACATATAGTAAAGGCAGGCAGTAAAGCAGTATCTATCATTCTTCCCTTCTGGTTTTATACCTTTGCACAATCCTGACCACTGAGTATGGGTGAGACCTTATAACTGACACCCTCAGTCCAACAATCTGCAAGGAATTAAATATTGCCAACAACTATAAGCCTAAACGCAGATGCTTTCCCAGTGAAGTTTCAGATGCAAGGCAAGTTCTGACTGTCACCTTGATTTGCCTCGCAGATGACCCAACCAACCTGGGGCAGGCTCCTGCCTCATAGAAACTAGGAAATAATAAGTGTGTGTTGTTGAGCCAGGCATGGTGGTGTACACCTGAGATGCCAGCAGCCACATAGGAGGGAGAGATCAAGAGGATCATGGTTCAAAGCCAGCCTGGGCAAAAAGTCAGCAAGACCCCATGTCTACCAACAAGCTAGGCATGGTGGAGCACAACTGCCATCCCAATTAGAGGGGGAGGCATAGGTAGGAGGACTGAGATCTGAGCCCTGGGCAAAAACATGAGACCCTGCCTGAAAAATAACTGAAGTAACAAAGGGCTAGAGGTGTGGTTCAAGTGGTAGAGCACCTGCCTAGCAAGTGTGAGGCCTTAAATTCAAATCTTAGTACTACCAAAATAAATAAAACAAAATGTATGTTATTTTAGTTCATTGTTTGTGGTGATATTTTTATGAAGCAATATCTTTGCACTCATATATTTTAGCTACTGATGAACTAAGTTACTTAGAACTAAGCTTTTGGAAGCAACAATTTGGAGGTTGGATTAAGGAGGCCCAAAATTTGAAGTAAAATGTTGTAGGAGAATGCCCCAAATTAGAAATGGCAATGGCAATGAAAAAGGAAATGAACCAAGCTCACTAACTTTCATTGGGGAATCACAATAGTGGATGAAGAGTATGGTAGCTGGCCTCCAGATAGCCTCCTATGACTCCAATGATCCTCGACTACTTGATACTCATATATATCTCACACCAAATAAATCAGAGATAGGCTGTGTGACCAAAAGAATATGGTAGGAGCAACAATATGTGAATTCCAAAGCTACATTACAAAAGTACTACAGTTTCTGCTTTAAGGCACTATCGTCTTGAACTACTGTTTCTTGGGGGAAGATAACCAGCATATTGTTAAGACACTCAACAGCCCTCTAGTGGTCCATTGGAAAGGAATAAACATACCAGTACCAACCTGCTAGCCATGTGAGTGATCCACCTTAGAAATGAATCATCTAGCCCCAAACAAGAGTTCAAATGGCTGCAGCTTCAGAGATATCTAACAGCAACCACATGAAACCAAACCACCCTACCAAGCCTGCTTCAGAATTCCTGAGCCACAAAAACTATGAAAGATAACAAATAACTCTGTTTTGAAGTGATTTGTTACAAAGCAATAGAAAACCAGTACAGAGAGGCTTAAACTGGGTAGTTCAGCAAGAAGAAGAAAGTTGGAGGGAGAGAAGCAGAGTAACTAACCAGAAGTCCATCCCACAGTGCAGGAAGCCTGTATTGTAAGTGATTCCCCAGGCTTTAATGCTCCAGGATTCATCCCTTTGCCTTAGCACTGAACCAAGAAAAATGCTAATTAAATGAGTCGGGAATTTAGTCATTGAACAACCATTTACTGGGGACCTACTGTGCAAAGCACTATGAAAGACCCAAAGAAGTTCCTGTCTTCCTGGAACTTACTAAAGAATAGAGATGACAGTGATCCATAAAATAATAAAAACAAGAGCCATACGAGTTCAAAGGAAAAGCAAGTACTTCTAATTGGTAGGGAACTGGAGGTGTGGCTCAAGTAGTAGAGTGCCTGCTTTGCAAGTACAAAGCCCTGAGTTCAAACACCAGTTCAACCAAAACAAAAAAAAATCATTTCTAATTGGTAGAAATTAAGAAAGCCCTCAAAAGATATTAGCGTACTACAGATACTCAACTTATGATGGAGTTTTGTCGCGATAAACCCATGGTTAAACTGAAAATACTGTAAGTTGAAAGTGCATTTAAGGGGCTGGTGGAATGGCTCAAGTGGTAAAAGTGCCTGCCTAGCAAGTGTGAAGCCCTGAGTTCAATCTCCAGTGCTGCCAAAAAAGAAAACAAAACAAAAAAAAAAAAGGAAAATGCATTTAATATATCTAGCAATCGTCATAACTTAGCAATGCAGTACACTGCAGAGTATCAGTTACTGACTCTCACTGACGACACAGTTGTCTAATAGCTGCAGCTCGTTACCTCTGACCAGCATGGCAAGAGAGTATCACTATATATTGCTAGCCTACAAAAAGATCAAAATTCAAAACTCTGTGGTTATAGCTCAGTAGTAGTTCACTTGCCTAGCATACATGAGGTCCTGGGTTCATTTCCCAGAACTGGAAAAAAAAAAAAAAAAAAAAAAACCAAAAAGAAAAAATTGGCCTAACTGGAAATTTAGTCATTTTATGATTACTAATCACACAACAAACTGCCTATTTTTCATTTGGACTTTATTATTTATTGGTTATTTAAAGTAGCAATTTTAAAGATATTATCCATGTTACAAAAGCCATATATTCTCACTTTAGAAAATGTAAAAACCGCCAGCAATCCCAGCTACTCAGGAAGCAGAAATCAGGAAGCCAGTTAGGCAAAAAGTTATTGAGATCCATGTCAACCAATAAGCTTGAGTATGAATCCCAGTTAGTGGGAGGCCATAAGTAGGAGGATTGCTGTCTGAGGCTGGCCCTGGGCAGAAACATGAGACCCTATATAAAAAATAAGTAAAGCCATCTGGGCACTGGTGGCTCACGCCTGTAACCCCAGCTACTTAGAAGGCAGAGATCAGGAAGATCTTGGTTTGAAGCCAGCCCCAAGCAAATAGTTTCAACACACTATCTCAAAAAAAAAAAAAAAAAAAAAATCACAAAAAAGGGCTGGCAAGTGGATCAAGTGGTAAGAGCACCTGCCTAGCAAGTGTAAGGCCCTGAGTTCAAACCCCAATGCCACCAAAATAAATAAGTAAATAAATAAATAAAGTCCAAGGGGTGGGGGGGGTAGGGGTGTGGCTCAAGTCTAGCAAACACAATGCCCTGAGTTCAAACCTTACAACTGCCAAAAAATAAATAAAAAGAAAACTATAAAAATCTCACAGTAACGAAAGATATTTTACTTATAGTTCTTCTATCTAAAGACAGCCATTTCACCAGCACTTAGGAGACATAGGAGGAGAATCACAAATTTGAGGCCAACCTAGGCTACATAGTGAGACTCCATCACAAAACAAATAAACAAAAGACAACCACATTACTCTATTTCCATTTGTTCTTTTTTTCCTATGGTGATCTCCTGAAAAGGTTTTTTCAACCCTCCTGCTTTACTCCCTGCTTCGATGTACTCACAGGAAAGCAGGACAAACTTCAGTATATGTGGGCCTTTCAAGGAGCCTCAGGGCTGGAGGAAAGCCTAAGTACCCTGAGGTCTAAAATGACAAGGCATCCACTTAGTGCTCCCCTGCTTTTAAAGATGAAGAAAAATGAGACATTTGTGCTGGAAAACACTTAAACAAAGACACAAATTAAATGAAAAGGTTGTCCTTATCAGCTGGGCTCAATGCAAACTAAGGCAGGAATTCTGAGTAGGACAGTAAGTTGTTCCGTTCCAGGGTGGCTTAGGAATTGGCAACAAGACAGTAGATATTCACCTTTCACATGAAGGGACTTGGTACATTCTTCTGGAGACACATTTTTTTTTTTCTAGTCCTGACTGTCTTGAGCCCTTGCCAATGAGCAGTTTTATAATGTCTATAAGAAAACTAAGATCACATGGTGGAAAACTCCATCTCCAGATCCCTCAGCTACAGACTGGTTCCCTCCTAAGGATCTGCAGTCTATAGTTCCAGCATCTGCACAAATAGTGCCACTGCCAGGTCTCAACCTGGCACACAGGGCTATTGATATTTTAAAAAATCTAGTAGGGATTTTATAAACTACAATAGACAATAAAATGCTTACCCTTTTTCCTAGTGTTAGGAAGAAGAGGGAGTATTGACAAATAAAGCCCAGTCATCCTTAAACTGAGGGAAAGGGAAAAAGAAAAAGGTGGACACCAACTTCTGAGCCAGGAATTTCCTAAGCACCTATGTTTAGTCCTCAGAACAATCCTCTCAGGAAGATATCTTCATTTCTTACTTTATAAATGACAAACTTAGGCTCAAAGAAGTTAAACTGCCCAAAATCCTATAAGGAACAGGGCAAGGATTTAAAAACCTTGTCTTTCCCACTGTGCCCTAATATCTAATCCTGCTCCACCTGCTGGTTAAGTGAACCTGGGCAAATTCCTTCCTCTCCACCCACACTGTGCATCCCCTGTGGTAAAGGCAATGGAAGCCTAAAACAATCCTATACATATCAACAATGACTCAGAGCCCTTAGAAATGGAAGTTTGAGTCATCACTCAAGGATAAGAATCTTCACTCTTTCAGTAGTTAGCTAAGAGCAAGGAGAACATGAAATAAGTATAGAAAAGACAAATTAAATCCAGCAATTTGTTGATAACCAGTTTCAGAAGCAAGATTTAGTTCTTGCTTGTTGTTAGAACAAAGTTAAATATACAGAAAATCTGCTAGGGCTCTTAGTAGTTTCGAGTGATGATAGTCTAACATGTGACCTTGTCACTGTGGAGGAGGAGAAGCATTGGAGATGAGGAGGTAAACTGAATGTCTTATTAGCAACCATCGTTAATAGAGATAGCGAGAATGGAGTACAGAAAGACTACTGAGTTGTTTTTTTTTTTTTTAACATTTTCATTAGTTTATGATAGTTGTACAGGGGAAGACTACTAATTCTCATCCTGCTTTCTTCCAAACGAATTTCAGTACTACTTAGGAGGATGAGATCAGG